AAAAAAAAAAAAAAAAAGCCCTAAGAGGGCAGATGTAAATGTTGCCTCCCCTACAACATCTTGATTGGAGCAGTGGCTATACAGCAGTGGCTGAATTCAAACCATACCTTTACACCTAGAGCATTCTTTTTTTGTATATAAATTGTACCTCAATGAACTAATAGTTAAAAAAAAAAATACTGTTGACAAGTTTGGTTTTAAATATTGAAATAGAATTTCAAAAATGAACTAGATTGAGTTTCTTCCTCTGAAGCTGGACAACCGAGCCCAGCTGAGGTTTTACTTTTCCTTAGCAAAATGGACTCTAAAACACATTTGAATACGACCAAGATACTATAATGCATACGCTATGTTATATACACAGAGATTTCTAGGCTAAAAGTTAACCTACATGATTATGAGGCATATCTGGCTTAAATAGAGCCCTTTGGGAACAAAGTCCCACCTGAAACATAAGCAATATTATCTATTCTTCTTTAAATACGAGGCTAGTAATTTTTTAATTTAATGTAAAACATTTCTGAACATGAAATGGTTTGGTTCTAGTACTGATTGAGTTCTCACTCGAGTGGGGATTAACTATAACCACCGGTAAGTTTTAGGGGCAAGAGAATGGGGAGAAAAGAGAGAGGATGGGTGTGCAGTGAGTCTCCCTCATCTCCAGACCACCCACGGCCCTTTCCAAATCCAGGTTCAAACACATTGATGGGGTCAGTCTTCTGCTACATCTGTATACTGCCAAAATATACATTAGCATCCTAGAAAACTCAAATCATTCTTTCCTCCTTTTCTACTGTGCCTCTTGAGAGGACTATCACAGCTCTGTCAAGAAAGAGAAATTCTCATTTGCCATTCCCCACCAGTTGCCAATGATTGTCAAGGAAGACAGTCAGTGCTCCATCTGAAATGCCAGAATTGTGACGGCAGAAGTCATTTGTTCAGAAAGGTCTGTGACCTCTGGCCAAGAAGCAGAGGAGACTGCAGAGGCAGGGCTAGCCCGGATGTGTAGCAGAGGGGGAAGGACACAGACAAAGGGAGGGCCTGCCCGCGTCCTGGCTCTCACCAGCACGGTGATCCCCTGCTCTTTGCACAGCATGGCCACTGCTCCCAGAAGGATACTCAGCAGCACCCAGAAGGTAGAAGGATGTGTTCCCTCCTTGTTACCTGCCAATTAAGAGAAATGATAAATGCAAAATCACGCAATGCAGCTCAGTCTTGATAGCATCAAGAACCAAAATTCTAAGCATGCACCTCAAGTAACCATACTTTAAAAACAAGGTTTGGTCTTCAGATAGCTTAAGTGGCAAGTGTGCATTTCTGGTTAGACAACACCCTCTAATGGTACGGATGTCCCTGCTTCAGGCTCTCCCAAGCAGGTGCCCAGAGCCTTACGGAGGCATTGTAAGCCATGGCTACAAAGATGCCTCCCACTGCAGTCCCTGTGAGGCAAACCGGAGTCCCTGTGAGCAAGTACCTTCTTCCCAGCCTGCCAATCACCTACTGTATCATTCTGACAAGTCATGCTGAGAACTCCCACCGAGACTGTGAACAATCCATCTGGTTTCAAGATGACCCCAACAGTTGCTGCTGCTGTCGTGCTGGAGGAGCTGGGAGTGCCTGTGCAGCTCTGACCATCTCTCACTCCTGTACAGGAGTGTAGGCTCTTGAAACACCAGGTTGCTTAAGATGGGTCTGCTCTGCTCCCAGTGGGAACAGCTCTGACCTCCACCCAAGAGTGTGCAATGACTGACAGGGAGATGGCACCTGTGTAGCACCCGGGACAGGGAAAGGCTGGGCTGCCAATCAGCACGGGCCTGAGCACCAACAGGAAGCCAAAACATCACCAGACATGTGAGCACCATGAGAAGCTCAGATGGGCAGATGTTCGAGTAGCCACCACCGGGTCTCTGAGAGGCCTTCTGGGAGCAAGGTCTGGCTATATATGCTCTTTTGGTTGATGGCACATGCAATTTGGGGGCCAGAACTAAACTTCCAAGGAAGAATGGGAAGGCCATGTGGATGGTTCACCTCCGTTCTTCCTTGTGAAGCCCTCGCCCCTCCTCTAAAGAAATGAACAATTTTAAAAGACATTGATTTGAATGGGGGCAAATGTGAACCTACATGGAGGATCCAATCAGTAGCTGAGGGTGCCTTGGTTCAGGTCCACTTAAAGCCAGGAACCTGGCTCTGAATTTCAGCCCTGCCACGTTAGGCTCTGCGATGATGAACAAGTTACTTACACTCACAGTCTCAGTGACCTCATCTGCAAAGTGGGGGCAGCATTGCCCACTTCAGGATACATGTGATAGGAAAAAATTACATGGGAACACATGGCCATTTGTGTTAAAAATTACACAAGTATGCTTATATGTGTAAAAATGTCAAACATATCTCTAAAAAAATACTACTGACTATAGTAGTTTCTGAGAAATTCAAAGAAAAAACAGGGGTAGGAGAGAAAGTTTACTTTTCACCATGGTACCTTTAATACCATTTCAATTTTCTAACCATGTACTTGTATTAAAAATCACACTAAAAACTAAACATTTAGGCCAGGCATAGGGGCGCATGCCTGTAATCCCAGCACTTTGCGAGGCCAAGGCAGGAGGACTGTTTGAGGCCAGGAGTTTGAAATCAGCCTGGGCAACATGGTGAGACCCCATCTCTTAAAAAAAAAAAAACTAAAAAGAGAAAAACCTTAAGCATCGGTATAGCACCACAAGCACAGAAAGCATTCAATAAATGTTTGCTGCACATGAATCAGCAAACTGGTAGCTCAGAGGGAAATAGATGGAATTGCCAACAGCGCTGTGGTATAGTAGTCCAGGTGGTGGCTGACCTTGTCACAAATGTGCCAGGCACACTATGTAAAAAGTACACCTTGGTTCTCCTTAAACTGCTAGCTCAGGAAACCAACAAGTATGTGGGTGAGTGTCTGCATGTGTTTTGTGAGACCCTGAACCAAAGTCTTGTGAAAACTTAAAAATTTAAGTCTGGTGGACACTTAATCAGCAGAGCCCCAGGATGGAGGCCTTTCTGTCCTCAACAGCTAGTAGGTACGGCCTGGGGGGTGGGAGGCACTCTTAACCCCCCATGTTATGTTCAGGTTTCTTGTTAAGGTGATGCAGGCCTGTCCCCAGCCGAGATCCCCTGGCCTTTCAACTGTGGGCAGGACTAACTCCTGATGTGCTGGACTAGGAGGCAGACTGGGCTGGGAGCTAGGGGGTAGGGGTGGGGAGCTGGGGGCCTAGGAGTCTGGAGGTGCTGAGGGCAAGGCTTCCCAATCACAAATAGGCAGGCAGGTTAACAGTTCCTAACCTTTTCAGCCTTTTGGGGTGACCTGTATATCAAATTTCCATATTTAAGTACATAGAAGCAAAAGAAATATTCTGCAAAAGTGTATTTGGCTATTACAGTTGAGGTATTTTAGGGCTTTTTATAAGGCTGGTAAAGCCTCATTAACTGGGACCCTGTTGTCTCCTAAAACACAATGACCACCTGTTTTAAGGTGATTGAAATACTCCCTTTTGCCTTCTGATAAGTGGCTTTAAAGGGCCCACTAAAGCAGCCAGGGCAGCAGCACCTCCCAGTCTGTACTGCATTCTAGCCAACCCCCAGCTTTGTTCCCTTAGGCTAGAATGCCCCTGGCAAAATCCTACCCAATCAATAAGGCTGTCAAATGTCACTGAAGGCTGTAAAGCTCCACCCCGCCCTCCCAGGCAGTCTCCTTTCTCCAGTTAGAGCAGTGAATGCTCCTGCTGTAGGCATGTCTGTGAGCACTGGCTGCACTCGCCTCTCAGCGCCCCTATGTGGCCCCAGGATTAAGTGAAGCCCAGGTGTACAGCACCCTAAGCTGTCCTTATCACAACCTGTCCCAATGTTCGGCGTGCAGCTGACAACACTTGACCTTAACCTCAGCACTACTCACGTCTGGGCTGGGGAAGGGGCAGCCCTGGGCATCATAGGACGTTTAGCAGCACCCCTAGCCTCTCCTCCAAGCCCTGCCCTCAACTGTGACAGTCAGAAATGTCACAGATATTGGCTAACATCCCCAGAGGTGTGTGTGGGGGGAAGGAGGCAGAAAATCACCCCCACTTAAGCACCATTGTCCTAAACCAGCGCTACTCAAGAGCGTCATCTATGGACCTGCACCTGGATCAGAAACACGGACTTGGGGGGCCAACAAGATCTGCTGAATCAGAAGTTGAGGCTGGGAACCAGCCCTCAGCCTTCAACAAGCTCTCCGAGGGACTGGATGCTTCCTAAAGGTTGGGAGCATCACCCCAACAGTCCCTGCTCGGATGAAGGCCGTGCATCTCACCTCCCATGCAGCAGCTCAGCAGTTGGAATCCATTCCAAGATGCTTCCAGCAGGGGGCCACCTGGTCTTGGCTTGAGTAACTTCAGTGATGGGGATTAATTTTCCAAAACACAGTCCATTTCGTTTTTAAACTTGGGTTGTTAGAACTTTCCTTCTTATGCCAAGCCCAGGCCTGCCTCCCCAGCCTGAGGGTCTTGGATCTGCCCCGGGCAGCGCTACAGCCACAACCTGTGCGGGCACACGGAGCCCGGAAGTCAAGTTCTCCCCGATGAAAACCATTACAGAGCAGGGGGTGAAATCCAGGGAGCGAACCAAGGATTGTGTTTCCCACTTGAACTAATTATTTCATACGTATGTAACACCAGAAGATCATAATTACCAGCTACAACAAGAAAATCTTGTCTAATTAAGCATAACTCCAATCTGAACATTTACATGTTTATTGAACTAACCTATTTTATTTGGTTATTTGCTGGCACTCAGATGCACACAAGTATTGGCAGGCACCAAAACTTTAAAAAAACTAATGTCCCTAAATAACCTTAAAGTTAACACAATGATTAATTCCCTTTAGGCAAAGTCCCCACCAGTTTGAGCAGGAGCACAGGGGGGCACAGCTGGTAAAACCGAGGTGAGATCACCCTGTAACAAGCCAGGGCACTGGAGAAGTCTGGGCCTCCTGCCACATAACAGAAAGAGGAATGGCTAGGCCCACTTAGTCTTGGGGACATCCGTTCACGCTGCCCTTCTACCCATAACACATTAACCGAAGTTGTGGTCAACCACCTTTCAGGATCTTCTCCTATTAGCAGTTTATATGTTAACAATACAACCCTCTAACTACAAATGACCTCATTAATTACCACAGGTTCTCATCCACAGATTAAAAGGATAAAGGGCACCCCTGCCCCGCCCAGCTGCCGGCCCCTCCAGGTCTAGCAGCAGAGATGGTCCCAGGTCAGGCCTCAGGGCACTGCTTTCGTGCTAAGAATTCAGTTTAGCAGTTCTCCATAACCAAACAGCTCCTGCCTGCACCCCACCTCATCAACCCAACTGCCCAGAATTTGATATTTTTAGGCTTCACTTAACTCCCACAATTTGTGTTTGTACCTCCCAACTAAACATAATAAGATTTCCAAATGTGAAGTTCCCTGTTGTAAACTTCAAAAGTCCTAGAAAAAGTGAATTAGCTTATATTATACTTGACTGTAATATGGACTAATTTTTCCCCCATGGACCAGGGGCCTTTGATAAGAAAACAATTCCTCCATTGAAACACCCAAAGGACTGCTTTGAAAGCACTCTGATGACACAAAGTCAAACCACTATACAGATGTGAAAATGACGCGTTCATGTTCCACTTATCCACAATTTAAAATGGGGTTCTTCCTAGATGGCTAACTCAGAGCCATAACTGAAAACAGGAAAGGGACACACAAAAGCTGGCCTTTGCATTTATCCGTATGTTCTCCCTAGTCGCACCCATAATAATTTCGCCTTTCAAACCCTTAACTCTCAAAATCCACTCCTACAATTCCTACACAAGAGTCCTACTTTTTGATGTTCCCTTAGACTTCTGATTTGGGTTCAGACACACCCAGGATGAATACCTATGAAAGATGAAGACAACATCTCTTTGCTGACGAAGTTTCTTCTGTCTCAGTGATTATTTAACCTTAAGTACCACATCTTAAAACAGCAGCAATTTCAGATTAATGGTGAGAGCTCCAAAGCTATTGACAGCTTCACAGTCAAAGCACTGCATCCCAGACCTGTTGCTGTCCAAGATGGAGGTCATGACAGCTAAAGGACACTTCTTTTTTTTGTTTGTTTTGAGACAGAGC